CTGTCTATAAATAAAGGACCCCCTCAGCTTCCCAAGCCCGGGCCAGCAGGAGTCTCCGAAGAGTGGAACGCCCCCACTTGACAGACGGGGAAGTAGAGGCTCCAGGCACAGAGCGGATTGGGAGTTCTGGTTCTTGGTGGATTGTTGGTTTGAATGCTGCCTTGGTTTCCCCCACCTAAGAGCAGTCAGGCGAGCGGGGTCCCCCCCCCCCATAAGGTATTGACAACCCTCGCCCTGCTCCTGGGGGCTGCGTTTGTGAGTGCAGTCCAGAGGCCTCTTCAGCAGCTCCTCCCCCAAATGCCCATACCTTCCCTGGAGAAGTCAGTGTTCGCTGCCTCTGTCTAAGCATGCTGCTGGGCGTGTGGCTGGCAGCCCGCAGGCCCCCGGCCCCCCACAGCTGCAGAGCCTGAAGCCAGCAAGATGGTGTAAAAGGGAGCAAGCTGGGACACTTGGGGTGGAGGAGAGCTGACTGGTGCCCCTCGGCCGTCCCTAGGGTGTCACCGCAGCCCAGAGGGGTGCTGTGTAGCTCATTGCAGCACTTTGTGAGTATCGGGCTAATGATGGCGGACAGGTGGCATCGGAGACAACCTGGAAGGACGCCAGAGCACCCAGGAAATGGCCCCGTCCCCCAGCAGCTACTTCCTGTCTCCTTTGCTTCAGCTCCCTGCGTCTTCAGCCTGGGGTGCTGGTTCTTGGTTTTTGATACCCAGGCTTGGAGTCCGGCCTCAACCCATGTCACTCCCTGTTTCACGTGGGTCCCACCTGGTACTCGCTCCCTGCCCTCCCACCCTCCCTGCCGTGTGTCTCCCAAGGATGCGTCGAACTTGGAGTAGGTGACAGGAAGCCAGGAGAGGGGCGGTCCCCGCGGCAGACTGGAGTTTGCCTGGATAAGATGGGCTTTGTTTGAGAGTTGCCCTTGTCAAGTAGCAGCAGGCTGGCTGTCGCGGCTTGCCTGGAGTCGGTCTTGTGCGTTTTATTAGCCCAGAAACATCTTGTTGGATCCAGATGAAGTGCATCTTGGGGAACTGTAACGGGAGGCATTAGACTTAATGGGGCATTGCCTGAATCAACCGCGAGGGATGTGAACAGGGGGCCTGGGTGGGGGATGAGCGGAGCTGCTGGGGTGCAACCCCGCGGGCCCCAGAAGTGACTGCCGGCTTAACTGCTGTTTGATTTGTTATTCACCAACTGCTGGCAAGCAAGGGGAGCCCAGCCCTGGTTTGGCAGAGCCGTGACTGGGGAGCTGCGAGGGGTCTCAGTGGTTAGGGCTGCTGGGTGGTGAAGGTTCTTGGGCCCAATCTCTGTTTCGCCCAGGCGGAGCCCCGCCCCCAACTCCCGCAGTGGTTCTCTCCAGGGGGTTATATTGCCCCCTAGGGGACATTTGCCAAATGAAGTCCCTTTGGGTTCTCACAGATGTGGTTAGCATCTGATGGTTACTCACCAGGGAGCTGCTAAACTTGTTTGCACGTGGAAGAACCTCTTCCTCCACCCCTATGAGTTACCCAACCCCGGGGCCCATAGTGCCAGGGAGAGGAACCTGCTGTGGACCCAGTCCTTGTTCTGGTTGTGTGCTAGCCCTAACAGACCTGGGCCAGCTCCCACCCAGGATAGCCTACTTCTGGGTAAACTTGGTCTCCAGGACAGTCTACTTCTGGGTGAACCTGGTCTGCCTTGTCGCTCGTGAACAAGGCTTGCCAGGATTGGATGGGCTTTGTGCCACCTGCCGGGCTGACCCCCTCTGCAGCCTCACTTTCTCACGCTGCCTCTGAGGAGCCAGGAGTGCCAGTGGGCTGTGTGGGTTATTGTGGGCTGTGTGGGTTATTGTGGGCTGTGTGGGTTGGGGCTTTACCGTGTGGCAGTGGTGAGAGAAGTTCAGTTCGCAAGTGGTAAGCAGCAGAGCTGGGACCTGCCCTCAGGCAGGGCTCTGAACACTGAGCAGAGGGGGTTCCACAGCAGGGAGCAGTTGGGGGGCATGCAGGTGAGGCCTGCAGGAGTGGAAGCTGGCACCGGGAGGGATGGATCCCGAGGCAGCATGCACGAGCTTCCAGCCTGCCGGTTTGTCAGTTCTCGCCGTGGTGCCTTTGCCTGCTGTCTCGGTCCAGTGCTGAAGGAGGAGCTGGGGGGAGCGCTGTGGAGAGGATCACTGGTTCCAGGGAGACTGGAACACTCGGGGCGGAGGGCAGGAGGCTGGAGTCTGGGCCTGGGTCCTGGGAGCGGTTGCTTGGACCAAGGACTTGCCCTCATCTCCCAAGTGGACGCGATGGCAGCGCCTGCCTCCTGCCGGGGTCGCTGGGAGAGGTGAATGGTGTGCACTGTCCCCTGTCTGTGGGGAGATCAGACAGTTTGGAACACGTGCAGTGTCAGGGCACCTGGGAACCTTCCCGCTTCGCCTCCTTACAGGTGAACTCATGGGAAGGTACAGAAAACCTCAGATGGGAGCCTGAGAGTGCAGAGGAACTAAGGGTGTGTGTGGAGCCAGGGGTTGAGCTTGGGACTGCAGCTCTCTGGGCACGGCGATACGGCAAAAGAGGTGACAGGTGTAACCAAACAGGAAATGAAAGGTAGAAACAGAACTGTTGGTTTCCTCCAGATGATGTGGAAAATCCAGAAGAATGTGTGGATAAACTTAGAGTTGATACACGGATGTAAAACGCAGAAAAGAATCAGCCGTATTTTATCTACCAGCTGCAAATAATTAGAAAATGAGATTTGAAAACAGTCCGATCTGTGCTAGCACCAGCTCTTCCAGTCTCTAGGCGCACACGGAGAGAGATGGGTGCAGGCGCTTTGCGAGGTCACAGCTGATGCAAACCGACATCGTCAGGTGCTGCCCAGCTTGTGAAGCAACCGGAACCATTTCACGTGGCTGGTCGGAGGGTGGCCATGTGGAAACAGCTTGGCCATGTCTTCCCTAGTCAGCTGCACCCTTCCTGCCGGCCCCCACCCATCCTCTTCCTGGATCTTTGCCCATGTGTGCCCAGGTGCACACAGCTTTGCCAGAACCTGGAAGCATCTTTGGAAACCATGTGTTCCTTCGGTTCAGCGGTGCACGGGTCAGCCAAAAGGGGAGATGAACTGCCCGTGGTACAGGAAGCGGCGGAACGTCGGGTGCTTACGTTGAGTGAAGAGAACGAGACGGAGGAGCTGCCTCCTGATCCATCCCATGTGTGTGCTGCTCCGGAGCAGGCCAAACCCAGAGATCGGGCCAGGGGTGGGGAGGACCCGCGACAAAGGGAGAGCTGGGGACGCCACGGAATGTTCCCGGGCCTGGTAGTGGCAGTGTCGAGGAAGCGTTTTCAGAAGCTACATTCTGTCTGCACAAGTTTTAAGCACAGAGATACGTGTGCTGGGCAGGTGAGGGCCCCTTCCCCGAAGTCGATCATTCCACAGGCCCCGAGCAGGGCTCCAGAGCTCCGGGGCTATGGATCTGTGATTGGCGTCTGAGACTCTGCGTGGAGCTCCTGAAGCCAACCTCAGGATCCACGGGATGACTGTCCCAGGATCCCCTGCCCACGCCAGAGTGCCGCCCGTGATAGGGCAGAGGGTTCGCACAGAAGCTATACACGGCCTCCTGGGTGCGGCCCGCTTCCGGGGTTCAGCCAGCTGTGGAGGGAAAATATTGAGGAGAAAACCACATCTGTGCTGGATACGTGCAGACCTCCACCCCCCGTCACTGTCCCCCAAGCTCTGCTGCATGGCGGTGATTTCCAGAGTGTCCGTGCTGTCTTGCTGAGAGGAGCCATCTGGAGGTGACTTACAGCTCTCATGAGGATGGGAGTGGGTCTGTGTAAATGTCCGTCGCTTTCCTTTATTTTTAAAGATTTATTTATTTGAAAGGCAGTTACAGAGAGGCAGAGGTTCACTCCCCAGATGGCTGCAATAGCTGGACCTGCGCCGATCGGAAGCTGGGAACCTGGAGCTTCCTCTGGGTCTCCATGTGGTTGCAGGGGTCCAAGCACTTGGGCCATCTTCTGCTTTCCCAGGCCATAGCAGAGAGCTGGATTGGAAGTGGAGCAGCTGGGACATGAACTGGCACCCATAGGGCATGCCGGTACTGCAGGCAGCAGATTTACTGTTAGGCCACAGTACCAGCCCCTGGTGCACAGAGTTTTCTAGAAGGGTCTATCACTCTGGCAGGCTCTGGTACCTGCAGAGGGTCCTGCAGCCCATGGCCCAGGGATGCTGCTGTTGGTCTGTAGCTTGTTTGCAAGGCCTACCCCAGTGCGCATGCTCCGTTACGGACGACTAACAAGAGAAACATCCGTGCGTGTTCAGCATAGTTTCTCTGAAAGCCTTACCAAATCCACACATGTGGCTCCTGCAACCACAGAGGGCCAGCTCCTTGAGTATGAAATGCTTGCAAAACTTCCTGATAACTGAACAAGCCAGAGATGGGTTTTCTGCAGATTAGATACCTCTCAAAAGACAGCAACAGGGCACGGGCGGGAGAGGTGGGCGGTGCCTGTGCAGGATCTGCTGCAAGAGTCCAGAAGTCCCCCCGCTGAGTGTCTCCACGCTGGAGAGAGCGCTAGGCAAATGCTGGTGGATGGACCCTTGGGAGGCACCGTGTGGATGTAAAGCCCAGGGAGCTGACATAGCTCCCAGGTAACCGTGTGGCTTCTGAGCTGTGGAGTGCTGTACTCAAAAGGACGCATTGGTCAGGTCCACTCAGGACTGAATTTGCTCACAGTGGTCGGCCCTGCCTCCCCTGAGCGGGGGCCCCCTGTATGTGAGCATGCCGCAGGCCTGGTCCCGGGGCTGTGTGCACACCTCGTCCTGCTGCGAGCCTCAGCTTGCACATCCGTGCAGTGGGACGATGGCATATGTGTAACGGCGGCACCGTGACGCTCCCCTGGGTGGCAGGGGCTCAGTCCTCGAGACCGGGACTGAATCATCTTTGGGGAAGAAGCAGTGTTGCCGGCGGTGGGAGAGACCCACCTGACAGCCACAGCAGAGCTGAACGTGGAGTTGAGCTCAGGGTCTTCTGTCTCTTGCTGCAGATGATGGGCCCTACTCCAAAGGAACCAAGGACGCGGACGTGGCACTGGCCTGCCGCCGGCAGAGCGTGCCAGGTAAGCGGCCCCTCCCCTCCCCTCTTCCTCTGCCTGGGAGCTTGCCCCGTCACCAGTGTGCTGTGTGACCTCAGCCCAGCCCCCTCAGCCTCTCTGCACGACCGAGGTGGTGTCACCCAGCAGAGAGCCCTGCTTCCCCAGTGTCAGCACCCCCTCTGCGCACTCACCCTGCTCTCTGTTGGCAGAGGAGTTCCGAGGGGTCACCGTGGTGGAGCTGCTCAAGAAGGAAGGCAGCACCCTGGGCCTGACCATCTCGGGGGGCACCGACAAGGATGGCAAGCCCCGGGTCTCCAACCTGAGACCTGGGGGGCTGGCAGCCAGGTGAGGAGTGGGCTCGCAGGGCAGCAGGCGCGAGGGTGCCCCGGGGCTGCTGGAGCGCATCCTCGGGTTACAGACGAAGCAATTAGGCAGCCGTTCCCAGGAGCGCCCGAGAGCTTGGTGTGGGTGGCAGGTAGACCTCAGGCTGTGACTCCAGGCCCGGCGTCTCCCTCTCCCTCCACGTCAGGGGCGTGTTAGCTGGTGTGGCCCACGCTCACCAGGACCCGTGCGGTTCTCTCCGCCTCCAAAGGCCGTTCCCACAGCATCCCTAGCAGACTCTTCCTCCCGTCTCCATACTCCACACGGAAGCCCTCCCTGACCCCAGACGGAGGTGGCCCTGCGTGCACACCTGGACTTGCCCTGTCATTTTGTCCCTGTGACCTCCTTAGCCTGGGAGTGTGGGGAGTGAGCCCCTTCATCACTGCCTCCGTGGGCCGTGCACAGAGTAGATGCTAGCAACGGGAGATTGATTCTCTGTGGAAGGCAAGAGGAGTGATCGGGGCAGGCAGGGGTGGGTGATCGGGCCCCTGGGGGCTCACCCTGGGCTGGACAGAGCTGGCATTGTGTGGGCAACACCCAGCACCTGCAAAGGCTTAGGCTAGAATGGTTGCTATCCTACTCACTGTGTGGCCCTAGGCAAGCCTCAGCCTCCCCATTAGTAAAGTGAGTACCTTAAGGGCTCTGCCGGAGGGCAGGTGTGGGTGCCAGGACCCGTGGGGGGTGGGGGCATCACTGCCCCTGTGCTCCAGCCCCCTCACCCCACACAGGAGTGATCTGCTCAACGTGGGTGACTACATCCGGTCGGTGAATGGGATCCGCCTGACCAGGCTGCGGCACGACGAGATCATCGCCCTGCTCAAGAACGTGGGGGAGCGCGTGGTGCTGGAGGTGGAGTATGAGCTGCCCGCGCCCGGTGGGTGCCCTTGGACGGGGAACCTTCTCGGCTGCCTTGGTCGTGGGTGGACACGGCTGCTCCCCGACCAGGGCCTGGGTGGTGGGGGCCCGTGGAGACTGGCCGTAAACCTCCAGGCATCCGCTGGGGCTCTGGCCTGTCCCCAGGAGGTGGGGGCCCCTGTTTTCTGTGTTGTTGTCACTCTGCCTCTTGAGTTCCCTCTCGTGTTTCCTCTGAGGGGCGGCATAGGGTGGGTGTTGGCTGAATATGTTGCTCCCTGTCCACAGCTCCCCTGGGTTCAGTGATCCTGGGGTTTGCCCAGCCCTGAGATTGAATCATTTGTCTAAAGTCCCAAAACCCGATGAACACTCGGGAATTCCGCCTGAGCCTGAGCCCTGGCTGGCTGCGGCCCCCGTGAGCCTGGGCAGGCCCTTCGTGCTCTGGGGTGAAGCGACAGTGGGGAGGAGGGTCCTCGGCCGCACTGGTGCCGTCCCTGTGGGCTCTGTGGCTGGTCGCCCAGCTCTCCTGGGGTGAGCTCTGGAGATGTCTGTCCATGCGACTGAGGGACTCAGAGGAGCTCTCCCTTCCTCCCCAGCCCCCGAGAACAACCCGAAGATCATCTCAAAGACTGTGGACGTCTCCCTGTACAAGGAGGGCAGCAGCTTCGGCTTCGTCCTCAGAGGTCAGTGCGAGAATCGGCCTGGGAGCCCAGGTTGATGTTGTGTGCTTTCTGTCTGTTGAATCAAGGTAAATGATAGAGATTCTGACTCTAAAGAAGCTGTGACTATTACATCAAGGGCAATATCAAGGAAAATTTTGCCAAGTGACGGAGTGTGCATGATGCAGAGAGCCAGGGGGGAAAATGTACTAGAATATGACGGTGCAAGCTGCTGCTGCCGACACTGAGCTGCCTAGCGATGAGGTCAAAAAGGGAAATCAGATGAGCTCACAAGAAGTGATGCAAGGTGTTGAGTAGCAGAGGGCTTGGTCACGTTTTCTACCCCTTGGCCCATCTCTGGGAGGGGGTGTGGGCTTATCGTTGGTGTCTCATAAAGCGGGCCATGAATAGCCAGCACATGACTGTACTGAAGAGGGCCAGCTTTGGGGCTGGGTTAGGGCCTCTGGGGTACCAGGGAAAGGGTGGGGGGTGATCTCATCTTGCTGAATTCTGTCCAGGTGGTGCGCATGAAGAGGTGCATAAGTCCCGCCCACTTGTCCTCACCTACGTGCGGCCTGGTGGCCCTGCTGACAGGTGAGCCTGAGCCTCTGAAACCCACACACCCCACTGACCGCCTCCAGCTCCTCCACCAAGAAGGCACGGTGGAGCCGTTGGGTCCATGCCCCAGATGAGCAGACTGAGGCTTGGGGAGGCCCCACGCTTTGCCCAGAGTTGGCGATCGTTGGTGGAGCTGGAGCCACACTCCAAAGGAGAGAGTCCCAAGCTGTTCCCTGACATCGTGCTGTGTCGTGGCTGGGGCAGGCAGCTGTGCGGTGGCCCTTCTAGGCAGGGCACAGGCATTGGCCGTGGCTATGGCTGTCCGCAGCTTAAATCTGGAGAGTGCTGGTGGTGCTACCCAGCCCTGAGTGGGCCAGGGCAGACCGTGTGGGGGAGGGACACGTTCAGGTCCTGCCCCTGACGCCTGACCTCGCTGCTGGGAGACTCCTGACCATTTTAAGAGAAGTGTGGACAAGCCTCCCCAGAAATCGGAATCTGTCTTGGAACGGGCCTGCGATGAGCTATTCATAGAACTCCCGGAATAGCTCTGGCCACCTGTTGGAATTTGACCCAAACTGAGGTGAACCCTGGAGCACCCTCCCCCTGGGGCCCCTGCCGAGTCCTTTCCCAGGCCCTTCTGTCACTGGGCCAGAATCACGGCTGGGAAGCAGGGCGGGGGGCAGCAGGAAGTCTCCAGATACCCCACGCCCCAGCCCCTGAGACCATGTGACTGGCAAGGCTGCCACCCTCCCCGAGCCCTGGTGCCCTCAGCGCAGACTCTAGGGCTGAGTGGAGGCTGCGACCGAGGCGGACGTGCGAGGCTTCTTGGCACGCATCCCTGCATCCCTTCGCGAGCCCCTGCCCAGCCGGCCTGGCTGACGGGGGTCTTTCCCCCTAGGGAGGGCTCCTTGAAGGCAGGAGACAGACTGCTCAGCGTCGACGGCATCCCACTGCATGGGGCCAGCCACGCCACGGCACTGGCCACCCTGCGGCAGTGCAGCCACGAGGCACTCTTCCAGGTGGAGTACGACGTGGCCGCCCCAGGTCAGCCGGGGCCTGTGGGCAAGGCAGGGGCTGGGGGAGCAGGCGGGGGCTGCAGATCCCCACCGCTACACAGGCTGTTGGCCCTCGGGCCAGCTGCTCAGCCCCTCTGGGCAATGAGTACCACGCACCAGGCATTGTGGCCACCCTGGGGGTGCCACAGGGAGCTGCACGGCTATGGTGTGTGTCATCCCGGAGCTGAGACCGGGGTGGGCAGAGGTCAGTGAACAGAGTAGCCAAGGCAGAGCATGTGTCCCGTGCAGTGAGTGCTGTGCGGAAAAGGAAAAGGTGGGGAAGAGACGGGGCTGGGGCTGCCCTGGTGAGGCAGGAGGGAGCTGATATGCGGTGTCGTAGCCACAGTCCGTGCCAAGGCTCTGAGCCAGGAGCTGGTGGCCTGGCCGGCTGACGGGAAGGAGGCTGCCGTGGCTGGAGTTGATGGTGGGGGAAGGGAGAGGACAGAGAGGGGAGCGCAGGTGGTGTCCAGGTGGTGGCTACGTGTAGGGGAGCTTGAGTGGACCCTGCTGGTCCCAGAGGAGCGGGGGGGAAGGGACCAGCACCATTTTCTGAGATGAGGATGGTATCCAGTCGGTGCTCACTCAGTGCAAGCAGATGAGGACTGACCGGCAAAGCTCTGGGTTGGGGGTCCGTCCTGGGCGGCTCAGGCCGTGTGAGCCTGGAGGAGGCCTTAAGCTCTTGTGCCTGTGTTTCTGGGGCTCTCAAGTGGGTATGGTGCCCTCCTAGGCAGCAGGGGTCGCATGGGGACAGCAGCGGGAGGCGGCATTGGGACTTGTCCAGGGACCACACATCAGGATGCTTGGTTCTCCGTCATGCAGACACCGTGGCCACCGCGTCAGGACCTCTGATGGTGGAAATAGCCAAGACGCCAGGGTCTGCCCTGGGAATCTCGCTCACCACTGGCTCGCACCGGAACAAGCCGGTCATCACCATTGACCGCATCAAGCCGGCCAGCGTGGTGGACAGGTGAGGCATCCGAGCTGAGTGGGGGAGGGGGCAGAGGGGCCCAGGGCTCTGTCCATCCTGGGTCGGCCAACCCCCTTCACTGCCTTTGCCTGTGCAGGAGTGGGGCCCTGCATGCCGGAGACCACATCCTGTCCATCGATGGCACCAGCACGGAGCATTGCTCCCTGCTCGAGGCCACCCAGCTCCTCGCCAACGTGTCGGAGAAGGTGCGCCTGGAGGTGCTGCCTGTGCCGCAGAGCCGGCGGCCCCTGAATCCCGCCGAGGCAGGTGCGTCCCCTCTGCCAGTCTCGGGGCCCAGACCTGAGGGGTGCAGGAGGCCCTGGGCAGATGACGGGACCTGTGATTTCCTGGAAGTGCTGGTGGTTCCCGCAGAGAAACTCGGACGGTCAAGGGCAGCCGCCTGGGGTGGGAGATGGGGCAGAGCGACAACTCGGGGTTAGAATGACAGCCTGCCGGGTTCACCCTGATTGTAGTAATAGAAACGTGAGGGCTAGGATGAGGGAGGGGACAGTCCTTGTCGGGTCTATGCTGTGTAGAGCTTGGATCCTGGGTTCATCCCTGGGGGCCCTTAGTGGGTACAAGGAGGCAGCCAGGAAGGCAGAAAGGGCCTGGGGCAACCCCTGTGAAGAGTTAGGGTCTCCCAGCTGGAAGCAGGGAGCAGGTGGCCCGGGGTATGGTAGAGGTGGGCATAGGGAGGCAGCCCTGGGTTCAGATGCCATCTTAGCCCTGAGCAGCTGGGCAGGTGCCTTTGTAAGTGGGGGCGAGGACCTGGACCGGGGGGCAGGGTTGAGGGAGGGAAGGGGCAGTGCCCAGTCCGGGGCTGTGGTCAGGGTGGTCAGGCTGTGAGCACTGAGGATGGGGTCTGCTCACCTCGCCCTCCTGGAAAAGAGAGGACCTGCATGTCACAAGGGGAGGGAGGGCCTGGCGGAGAGGGAGTCGTGGCAGTGTCCAGTGGCGCATGGAGCAGTCTCTCTGAGCCCAGGGATGAGGGCGGGCAGCCTTGGGACTTGCAGTAGCCTCGTCCATTCTTCTCTTTGTTGGGCACCTGCGGGAGGCCGGGCCCCGTGCTGGGACCCTTGCATGTCATATGTCCTTGGGTTGGCTGTGGAAGTCATTCCAAGGAGGTGGCCCAGGCCTGGGGGTGTGCACGGGCTCCTGGCTCTTGTCTTCCCACGCCTGTTGATGCCTGCTAAGCAGCCAGGCCCCGCTCTGAGCACGTCACGTGTCTCGCCTCACTTTCATTCTCGCCGGACCCTGGGTGGGGGCCTTTCTTCTGGTCCCATCCCACAGATGTTTGACCAGGAGGCACAGAGAGGCTGTGACTTGTCCAGTTCCACAGCTGGCCCATGACATAGCTGGCTGTGGCCCAGGCGGCCGGCTGCAGGGCTGGCCAAGCTCCGGCTGGGAAAGAGGCCTTTGCAGGGACCACGGGGTCGGTGGGCCTTGAGAGTTGAGGCAGAGCCAGCAGCAGGAGGAGGGGCTGGCACGGGGCGAGTCCTGGCAGCCAGCGTGGAGGGGCAGGAGGGGCAGGACCCCACAGAGGCCCCGGGGCCCTCTGTCGCAGCAAGGCTAGGGAAGGGTTGCATGGGAGGAAGCGGGCAGCCTCAGAGGGTGATGGAGGTGCGGCTCGGCCAGCCTTGGCCAATCCCAGGGAGCTGGGGGGGCCCAAGGCTGCCTGGGGAGGCAATAGCTAGACCTTGAGCCCTCCTCCATGCTCTGTGCTGGGGGTGCAGCGCTGCAGGGGATCCTGAAGGCGTGGCAGCTGGGGGGTCCCAGCCACGCCCCCCAGCCCTGGTCCTCCCTGGCAAGCCTTATGGGGCAGTGCTCCCAGCTCCAGAGCAGCTGCCCGGTTCGCACCCCCCTGTTCCGTCACCTCCCAGCAGAGAGCTGTGTGGCCCCCTCTCCCTGCTCTGTCCCTGTAGCTGGTGCCCTGAGCACAGTATCCAGGAGGGTCTTCTCCCCTAGGCAAAGGGGGAGCAGCCACCAGGGGGCCTGGGTGAGCGCTGACAGACTGGCCCCCAGCGGCTGCACCTGCACCTGCCTCTCTTCTTTGTCCCCCGCTACAGTGAAAGTGCAGAGGAGTGAACAGCTGCACCGCTGGGACCCCTGCGTGCCCTCCTGCCACAGCCCCCGGCCCGGCCACTGCAGGCCGCCCACCTGGGCCAGCCCTGCCGGCCAGGACCAGAGCCGATGTAATGTGCCCGCGTGCTGCAGCTCGTGGTGCCTCACGCCGTTTGCTGGGGCGGGAGTAGTGCCTGTGGCATGGGGCGGGCTCCAAGACTCGGGAAACTGGGGGGCCTCCCTGTTGTCGGCCAGCATGTCGGCGGTGCAGTGGGCCCCTGTCCCCGGCGGCCAGGCTCCACTATGCCTGGGCAAACCCTGCAGTCTCGGGCTCAGTGGGGAGGGAAGCTTGTCCGAGGTCACACGGCAGGTGACGGGCGGGTGGGCGGCTGTGCCCTGCTGGGGTTCTCGGGGCTCACGGGGCTCTGCTCTCACCTCCCCAGCCTTGTCCTCGACTCCTTTTTCCTCACCGACCGTGAACCATGCCTTCTCCTGCGCCAACCCCAGCACCCTCCCCCGGGGATCCCAGCCCATGAGCCCCAGGACCACGATGGGGCGGAGGCGGCAGCGGAGACGTGAACACAAGAGCTCACGTAAGCCTGGTCTCTTCCCTCCCCTGGGCTGCCTGCACGTGCCGAAGAGAGAGGCTGTAAGGAGGCTCGGGAGGGGGCTGGGCCACAGGGGCGTGTGTGTGTGTGTGTGTGTGTGTGTGTGTGTGTGTGGCTGCGGGCAGGAACCTTAAATGACATGAATTGTACACCAGGCCACCATAGGTGGTTGCACAGGTTGCGCACTGCACAAGGGCACAACTCAGGGGAGCTGGTTAGTGTGTACACTTCTAGTCTTACATGTCTTCATTTTAGGGTCACACATACGCACAAACATGCCCACATGTGTGCAGACCAGTCAGAGACGGTAAACAGGCTGCCTTCTGCTGGTTTACTCCCCACGTGCTTACGGTGGCCAGGCCAGGCCGAGGCTGGGCCCTCAGTCCTATCTCCAGCATGGGCAGCAGGCACCCTGTTAGTTGAGCTGTCGCTGCTGCTCCCCGGGGCTGCGTTAGCAGGAGGCTGCAGTTAGCAGCTGTGCCCACCTGTCCTTCAGTGTCCTTGGCCTCCAGCACCGTGGGGCCGGGCGGGCAGATCGTGCACGCGGACACCACGGAGGTCGTGCTCTGCGGGGACCCCCTCAGCGGCTTCGGCCTCCAGCTCCAGGGTGGCGTCTTTGCCACTGAGACCCTGTCCTCCCCGCCCCTCGTGCGCTTCATCGAGCCCGACAGCCCGGCCGAGAGGTGAGCATGCCGCCCCCTCCCCATTCGGGGGCTCGGGGACAGCCAGGGAAACTGAGTCAGAGTCCCACGCCCTGGCTGCCCAAGTACATTCACTTCAGCATCATATCAGCCCCAGCCCCAGCCCCAGCCCCAGCCCTAGCCACATTCTACAAGTGAGGAAGCCCAGGATCAGAGAGGCTGAGTCACCTGCCCAGGAGCACACAGCTCATGAACAAAATCCCTCTGCAGTCAGAGTTCCCTGAGTGCCACTCATGGGGCCTGTGGCTTTATCCCCATTGGACAAACAGCTAAACTGAGGATCAGCAAGGGGAGGTTCTTAGCCAGGGTCCCGTGAGCTCCACCCTAGGGCACAAGGCAGGGCCCAGCTTCGGGTCGCCCCACTGGAGCCGTCATGGAGCCTCTTCTCTCCGCCGGGCCACCTGGGGTTCAGGTGTGGGCTGCTGCAGGTGGGGGACCGTGTGCTGTCCATCAATGGCGTAGCCACGGAGGACGGGACGATGGAGGAAGCCAACCAGCTGCTGCGGGACGCTGCGCTGGCCCACAAAGTTGTGCTGGAGGTCGAGTTTGACGTTGCGGGTGAGTGAGTGAGTGGCCCTGGGGCCCTGCACCCTGTGTCCTGCTGCCTGCCCCTCTGTCCCCCATTCCCTGCTCCCCTGCATCCTGTTCACTGCACCCCTGTTCTTTATACTCCTCTTCCCCACACCCTGTACCCTGCTCCCCTGCAGCCCTGCTCCCCACGCTCCTGCACCCTTGCTTTCTGCTCCCCTGCTCCGTGCTCTGGTCATCCCATGCTCTTCCACCCAGGGCCCCCTCCAGGGCCACCTCAGCTTCTGCAGGGAGGACTCCTGTGTGCTGGTGTGGGGTTGAGGGGAACTCGGCCATGGGACGGGACCTGGGAGAGGGGCCGTGGCTCAGGGGTGCTAGGAACTCTGCACGCTCCTTCCCTGCATGGCTCAAGCAAGGAACCCCAGGCCGGCACATGGTTTGGAACTCTGGTCCTGTGACTTTGGACTGGACACGACATGGAGTGGGGGGTCAGGTGAGGTCAGTCACAGGGAAGTGCCCAGCCTAGGCCTGCATGTGGGCCCTGCCCGGGAACCTGTGCCGGACCCAGAGGCTCTGGGACCTCTCCCGCAAGCAGGCGACGGCGACGCCCGCGTTCCAGTCCTGCCACGTGTTCTGGGCCAATCCCTCTATTCCTCAGTCTCCTCACCTGTCAGGTGGAAGTAGCAGCTTGGGGCTGGGTCGTGACTTCGGGGGTCTCCCAGCAGATCCAGAATGGACGTGAGGCTGGGGCTCCCGGAGGCCCCGCCCCCAGTCTCGGGTCTGCTCCCTCCCTCGTGTCTCTGCAGAGTCCGTCATCCCGAGCAGTGGCACCTTCCACGTGAAGCTGCCCAAGAGGCGCGGCGTGGAGCTGGGCATCACCATCAGCTGTGAGTCCCCTCCCCGCAGCGGCTCAGCCCGGGGTGCGCTGTGTGGCCCAGGAGTGGGGCAGGCTCACCTGTGCTCTGCCAGGCCTGGCTGGGTGCCCTGGGGCAAGCCCTGAGGTTCTCGGAGCCTCAATCTGCCCTTTGGCACAACGGGCACCTCCCGGTGTGTGGTGCCGGATGCGAGGCGTGGGTTTCCTGTGCCACCTGCCTCTGTGTCCTCGGCATGCAGGAGGGGCCTGGGACACAGCAGGGGCTTCGTGCATGTTTGAGCTGGGAAGGAAACAGGGGGGATGTAGGATGGGACGAGAAGCAGGAGATAGGTGACCCCGGGAGCGCTGCGGGCTCTGCTGCTCCTGTCGTATTTGGAGTGGAGCTGAAGCCCTCCCGGGGCCAGGAAGGCCTGTGAGACCCCTCCCTTGGCCTCTGAGATGGGTCTCGTGTTCTCCCAGCTGCAGCCTCCTCCTGGAGCATCCTGCCCCGGGGCCTTTGCGTGACCATTCTTCTGCCTGCCTCCCCCAGAGACTCCTCCCAGTGTTCACTCACTTGGCCCCTCAGCGAGGCCTTCTCTGACCCCACAGTCTAATCCTCCATGCAGCCCCCTCCCCTCGTGCTCTTCTCCCAGAGCGTTTGTCATCTGAGCACCCACAGTTGTACACATTCTGCTCATCATCTGTGGCCCCCCAAGCCGGTCAGCTCGGGGTGGGGCGGCGGGCAGCAGGTCTCTGCCTGTTTTGTCATGGCTGTACCCCACAGACACTCAGTGGGGCTCTGGCACCTGGCTCCTGAACCAGGTGGGGTCAGCACAGACACCCACCAGCCAGCACCCATGGCTTGCTGGGAGGGGGGGTGGGCTGCACGGGAGCAGAGGAGAGAATATTTATTAAGCACCTGCTGTGTACCAGGAGCCACGCAGAGTTTTGCACCTGCGTTATCCAGATTTGGGGGTTTAAAATTGTGTAGTTAGACAGAGAAAGACAGGGAATGAGTTCCCATCACTGGCTGAATGCCTGCAGTGTCCATGCTGGGCCAGGCCAAAGGTGGGACCCACCTCTCGGGCTGGAGTCCAGTTAATTAAAGTCCTTACTGCTGCCTGCCAGCGTGCGCATTGGCAGGAAGCTGGAGTCAGGGCCGGAGCTGGGGTCCAAAGCCAGGTTCTGATGTGGGACACGGGCATCTTAATGAGCATCTTAAGCACTCAATTGACTTCCTGCCCCCATCATCTACTTTGTGGTCACCGCATGCCCTCGAAGTCTGTGGCATCATCCACAGTGTACAGAGGGGGGAAACTGAGGCACAGAGCGGTGTGCTGATTGGCTCATCGCCAGAGAGCAGTGAGAACAGGATGTGAACAGTGTGTGGGGCTGGAGCCCATGCCCAGCCCCTGGGACTTGCCACCTTCCCGCTGTGCCGCCCGGGGTGTGGCCCCTGTGGCCACCCAGGGTCAGGTTCTCGGTCTCCTTCCCTCCAGCGGCCAGCAGGAGTCGCGGGGAGCCCCTGATCATCTCGGACATCAAGAAGGGCAGTGTGGCACACAGGTAGGATGCCCGGGCACTGGCGGGGCACTCAGCCGACGGGCGTGGGCACGGCACCTGCACGTGCCAGGCTCCTTCCCGTCCCCCACCCCGGCTCATGCAGGATTGGCACCCTTGAGCCAGGCGACAGGCTGCTGGCCATCGACAACATCCGCCTGGACAACTGCCCCATGGAGGACGCCGTGCAGATCCTGCGGCAGTGCGAGGACCTCGTGAAGCTCAAGATCCGGAAGGATGAGGACAACTCGGGTAGGCGCCTACCCCGCCCCGAGCTCGTCCCTGTGCATGGCAGTGGCGGGGCCGCCCACAGTCTTCGCGACACCACTGGGAGTTGGCCCCTACCCTTGGTGCCCAGCCTGGTGGGAGGGGCCCCCTGGCAGGCAGTGAGGGAGTGGGGGCTGCACCCTGGGCGGGTGGCTCTGTGGGTGCACGGTGGAGGGGGCACGCATGGGCCCGGCGAGGCCAGGCAGCGACAGATGAGCGTGAACTGGACGGAGAGGAGTGAGGGAGATCATGCAGGAGGCAGGCAGCAGGGGTGGAGCCTACAGCAGGAGCAGAGCGAAGCCCTTATTCACGGAGCCTCTCCCCCCACCCCCCGGGGCGGGGACAAGAGGCTCACTCACGGGCAGGTCTCTATGTTTTAAGCTGGAAATCTGGTTTCTTTTTTGCAAACTAACTTACTTGAAGCAGAACTAGGTCTCCCATCTGCTAGTTGACTCTCCAGATGCTGGTCACAGCTGGGACTGTGCCGGTCTAGAGCCAGGAGCCAGGAGCCAGGAGCCCAGTCTGGGTCTGCCATATGGGGAGCACGGTCCCAGCTACCGGAGCCATCACCTGCTGCCTCCCAGGGCGCACGATAGCAGGGAAGCTGGGTTGGGGTGCAGAGCCGGCATTTGAACCCACACCATCCAGTACAGGATGTGGGTGTCCCAAGCAGCGTCTTGGCTGCTGCACCTCACAGAACCCATGGCTCCTCCTCGTCCTGTTGATAAAGTGGGTGGTGTGCAAAGTCTTTATTTGGAGACATTGGCCCCACGCGTATTCCCTGTCCTTGTTTATTGCAATGGTGTTTGGCAGAGAACACTTGGGGAGGCAGGAGACGGTCCCTGTGTTGTGCCATGTGAAGTCGTGGCGTGAGTGCGTGGTGCGTAAATGAACGGATGAATGGGTGATGATGCCCCACCCTGCCTGCCCCTCACGGGCGCCATCCCCACAGACGAGCAGGAGGCCACGGGCGCCGTGAGCTACACCGTGGAGCTGAAACGCTATGGGGGCCCCCTGGGCATCACCATCTCGGGCACCGAGGAACCTTTCGATCCCATTGTCATCTCGGGCCTCACCAAGCGTGGTCTGGCTGAGAGGTGAGGCGCTCTGCTGGGGCGGTGGGCGGTGGGCCCCGGGGCCTCCAGGGAGTGGGAGCTGGGCCTGGGGGGCAGCCAGATGACATTCTGACCTCTGTCCCGCTCTCCAGCTGGTTGCCTCCCCTCTCTGTGGGGTGGGAGGGCTGGCTGGGTGAGCGTCCCGGCAGGCTTGGTGGAACTTACTATAGGCTGAGGGCTGTGGGGATTGGGGGGTGGGGGGCCCAGCACAGCCAGGCTCTTTCTGAGGCTCTGGGGCTGCCCCTCCCCCAGGGAGTGCTCCTGAGACTGGCAGCTAGGGAGCTGTGAGAGGCGGGGTGTCCTAGCTCTGTCCCAGTTGGCTGGGGGCAGGGCAGAGGAGGGACAGGGCCCAGTTCTGGTGCAGCGAGCTTTCTCCCTGGCTGTGGCCGTGCACGGATGGATCCAGCAGGCAAGGAAGTGCCGAGCACCCCAGGAGTCCCAGGAGCTGGCTATGAAAGGGGAGGACAGGGGGCCAGGCGGGGCTTGCAGGTCAGCTGGGATGGTTCTGGAGCTCTGGGCCTCGGGCAGGATGTACCCCGCTCCTGGGGCGCCCCCTGCTGCACACCGTGCAGACTGCAGCAGTTGGTGCAGGGCCCTCACATTATTAACCGGCCCCGGGCTGATGGAGTTTCGTGCTGTCCCACGGAGGTAGAATCCGAGCCGTGAGCTTGCTCTGCGGCCTCCTCCCACACTCAGATTGGGGTTCACCTGACTGCCTGACCCCACCCCCAGAGGTGGGACTCCACTGGTCAGGCGTGGCATCTGGGCACTGGTTTTGCAGTGCTCCCTAGGGCTTAGGTTTCTCGTTGCTGTTGCGGCAGAGCTGGCCCAGCCAGTGTTGTCACTGGCCCTGTGAACATGGTGTCCTCCAGGTGGAGGGAAGACGCCCATGGCTTTTGCGAGGGGGAATCTTGGCTCCATCGTACCCACTCAGTCCTCAGTTAGGATTTGATAATGAAATGCCATCTCCCCTTTCTATAGATGAAGGGAATGAGACTTGGGAAGTGAGGAAGTGAGGCCAAGATGACACGTGTGGCATCCAGTGCTAGTATGTGGGGTTCAGGCCATTCTCGGAAGCTGCTGGAGAATTCGCCCCCAGATTCCAGCCATGGCAGCCCTGTGGATGCAGCCAGGGTCCCACTCGGAGCACCATTACGCTGGGGACAGCCTGGCGTACACCCTGGGGCGGCCCTGGGCTCCGGAGGAGACCCTCGCCACCACACTGCGACAAGGCCCTGAGTGTCCCCCTCCTGACTCTGCCCTGTGCCCACTGCTCAGGACCGGTGCCATCCACGTAGGGGACCGCATCCTGGCCATCAACAGTGTCAGCCTCAAGGGCCGGCCACTGAGCGAGGCCATCCACCTCCTGCAGATGGCCGGAGAGACAGTCACGTTGAAGATCAAGAAGCAGCTGGACCGTGAGCCTCGCCGCTGCCCTGGGGGCTGCCCAGCCCATGAGGGAGGGTCTGTGGAGGTGGGAGGGGGCCTGGGACAGCTGAGGAGACAGACAATGGGAGAGGGGCCCAGAGTTGCACAGCTGGGGTGGGCTGAACCTGGCTGTGGACTCTGCTGTTCATCACCCCCTGCCTCTTAAGGTGCCCACCTGTGTGCTGCATGGCCCTAACCCATGCATTCCTCAGTTTCCTGCATGTGTGCCCTGCCACTGCAGTGGAAGGAGCCAGAGTTCTGAGAGTCTTCCTTCCAATCTGGGCCCCACTGTTGGTTGCAGTGGGACATGGAGCAGTTGTTGAGCCTCCTGAGCCTCAGTTGTCCCATCTGTGTAGTGGGTTTGCTCATTACTATGCCACCTCCCACACGTCAGCGGATGGCTCAGAGCCTGGGAGGTCCCAGACCACACTGAGGCTTGCCGAGTACTCCTTGGCTAGAGGTGATGCCCCCCTTCTCCTCCCAGGCCCCTTCGTACCCCACAAGTCAGGCAGCCTCAGTGAGGCCAGCGACGTGGATGAGGACCCGCCGGAGGCGCTCAAAGGAGGTGTGCTGGCAGCCCGGTTCTCGCCCGCCGTGCCCAGTGTGGACAGTGCCGTGGAGTCCTGGGACAGCTCAGCCACGGAGGGTGGCTTCGGGGGCACAGGTAAAAACCCAGGGTCCTTGGATGGCAGCATGTTCTCTCTGGGCTGCCCTGGCCACAAGGCTGGTGGGGGCTCCTCCCTACCCTTGGGGACAGTGCCTGGTGGACGATCTGGCCACAGCCTCATTGACCACCTCTCCCAGCCTGAACCACAGCCCCATGTTTTGATGCCCAGCCCCATGCTTGCCACACGGGCTGCCCGTCCAGCTGAAGGAGGAAGGTAGAAGGTCCCCTCCCGCCCTGTCCCACGCTGACCCTGGGGGGCTGACACTTCCGGGCACCTTCCCATGTGCGTGTGCGCCGAGACCCACGGCAGCCTCCGGGCAGTTCTGGATCTGTGGGCTGTGACTGGGAGCCACCAGACAGCACCGAGGCCCTGCTCGGGGAACGAGCAGAGTGCTGCCCCTGGGGACCCTCGGTGTCCCACAGCCCCATTCTCACCCGCTGGACACCTCTCTCTGGGGCCTGGGCTCTTGTTGGGGGAGGGTCTTCCAAGTAGTGCGCCCCCGGAGCCCCTGCAGTAACCTTGGGTTGCGTGAGTGGCGGATCCTGGGGGTGTGGGCTTGGGGTCCTTGGTGGGCTCTGAGAGGAGCAAACACCTCTCCAAGGTCACCCTGCAAAGCTGGGCTTGGGGCAGGGAGGAGGGCAGGGTAGGGCCGGGACACAGGGAGGAGGGCAGGGTAGGGCCAGGACACAGACGCCCCTGTCCACCTGCCAGGGTCCTACGCTGCGCAGGTCACGGCCCGGGGTGTGAGCCCCCAGGAGTGGCGGCCCGGCCGGCTGAGGGGCAGCCCCCCACCCACCGAGCCCCGGCGGACAAGCTATACCCCGGCCCCTGCTGACGAGAGCTTTCAGGAGGAGGAGGAGGAGGAGGAGGACTGGGAGCCACCATCTAGGTCTGTGAAGGAGGTAGTGGTCGTGGGCTGTGGGCCCGGGGCCCAAGAGGGAGACGGGGTGTGGATGAGCCACGTCCCACCTGGGAGAGGAGGTGCCAAGCAGGGCTGCCTGCGCCCGGCCGAGGCGGGCAGAGGATGTGCTGGGGAGGCACGGCCCGGCTTGTGTTAGCCATCATGGCATTGGGCACCCCCTGTTCCCAGGAGCATGGCTGTGGCGCAGCCCTGGAACCCATGCCCACCCTGCGTGGCCCTCATTCCTCGTGGCCTCCGTTCCCCGGCACTGGGCCATGGCGGTGACAGCTTCCGATGACGTGGCCTGCAGAGAGCAGGCCCCCTGGAGAAATCCAGCTGCCACCTCCGAGCACTGGCTCAGGCAGCTCCTGCTGCCCAGGGTCCCTTTCCCTCTCAAGTCCTCTTAGCCGTCCGTCGCAGGTCGGCTGAAATCCTCCTGCCTGTCGGGAGCTGCCCTGACTTTGTCAGGCAAAGCGAATCCCTGCCTCCTCGCTGGGTGCCCTTCAGCCTCAGTTTTCTGCTCCACGCGGTGGGAGGGGAAGGAGGTTGCTCTTTGCACCTTGTCCCTCAGAGACAAAATCCTGTGTCTTAAAGGATTTTGTAGGCTGAAGCGTGCGTCGTAGAAGCCAAGGATGTAGGACGGGGGTGGTCCCTTAGAGCTGTGACGTGGGGACCCAGTTGGGGTCCTCACTCCCGCAGAGACACCTTCATGGCCACGGCAGGCTTGGGCAGCCAGGCTGTGGCTGCTCCCACCCCTCCCCCAGCACAAGCGTCCCACCCTCTCCATCCATCTGTGTCCGTGCTGGTTCCGGCTCTGTCCCTGTCCCATGGTGCCATGTGTCTGGGTGGGGCCAGGGGCGGTCCTCTGGGGCTGCACCATGGATCTCCTCTCTGTCTGTCCGTCTGTCTCTCTTCCCAGGCCTCCTGTGTCACCGCTGTCCGTCCCGTCTCATCTGCCCCTGTTCTAACTGGCCGCCAACAGTCCTGGGTGCCCTCACTGCGTCTTCCCCCCATCCCGTGTCACCAACCACTGCCCCGGGGCCCCAGCACTGCCACCAAGGACGCCCACCCGCCTGCCTGCCTGCCCACCCGCTCGCCTGCCCGCCCACCCTATGGCCCCCCAAGCCCGACGCTGGGCCCGGAAGATTGCTCAGGCCTCAGCCCACCCACCAGCCCGCCAGGAGTTGACGCTGTGGTTCCTACGTTACAGCCCAGCCCCCGGCCCTGCCCGCGAGGAGGGCTTCTGGCGTGCGTTTGGGGAAGCCCTGGAGGACCTGGAGTCCTGTGGTCAGTCGGAGCTGCTGAGGGAGCTGGAGGTACGGCGCTGAGTCTGCAGGCGGGAGCACGTCCTGAGCATATTGATGGGCTCGTGTGCCTGTGTGACGCGTGTGCCTGTGTGCGTGGACACCCGTGTACGTGTGATCAGGAAGACAGCACATCAGGGTGTGTGGATGTGTGGACATGTCTGATGTGTGCATTGAGAGCATGTGTGTGCATGTGTGTGAGCATGCTCATGTGTGCAGTGTGTCTACAGAACACATGTGTCTGCACTGGAGCAGTTTGGGTCTGTGTGCAGATGCGATATGTGGTTGTGGGCGTGCCCTGTGGAAGCATGCGGGTGCTGACGCCAGTTGTGGGAGGCCAGGGATCAGTGGAGTCAGCTTTGCCGATGGATGGCACAGGATTCAGAGGGGACCCAGCAAAGCCCCTTGAGGCTACTTCCACCCTGAGATGTGACCCAAGTGAAAGCTCTGCTTTATCCGTTCTTCAGTCCCCTTTGTTCTTGATTTTGTCGACTGGGGCCGTGCTCTGTTCCTTTGGTCAGTCTTGCTCAGCCCTAGATTCTTAGTCCGGGTCTTGCGCTCTCTCATGTTTCATTGTTGTCTCTTAATTTTGTGTTCAGCTTTGATTTTCTCCTAGTTGTACTGTATTTACTTATAAGTAATGACACTTGACCTGCTTTCTAATTATCTGTTCAATGTTTTCTAACAATGAACTTTTAAAGCTATGGGATTTACTCGCAAGCTCTGCTTTGGCTGCATCCATAAGGTTTAATTTGTGGTACTGTTACTGTCCATTCAGTTCCAAACATTTAAAAAATTTCTGCTTTCATTTTTACTTGAACTGTTGAATTCTACAAAAGAGGGATTTAAAAACTATTTTCTGCTGCTTGTTTTTGTCTTTATTTTTTTTTTTAAGATTTATTTATTTATTTTTTTTTGACAGGCAGAGTGGACAGTGAGAGAGACAGAGAGAAAGGTCTTCCTTTGCCGTTGGTTCACCCTCCAATGGCCGCCGTGGCTGGCGTGCTGCAGCTGGCGCACCGCACTGATCCGATGGCAGGAGCCAGGTACTTCTCCTGGTCTCCCATGGGGTGCAGGGCCCAAGCACCTGGGCCATCCTCCACTGTACTCCCTGGCCACAGCAGAGTGCTGGCCTGGAAGAGGGGCAACCGGGACAGAATCCAGCGCCCCGACCGGGACTAGAACCCGGTATGCCGGCGCCGCAAGGCGGAGGATTAGCCTAGTGAGCCGTGGCGCCTGCTTTTATTTTAAAAACCAGTTCACGTTGATTTTTAAAGTACCATAGTCAGAAAACATGTTTCACGTGTTAATTTGGAATTTGAGGCCTTGAGTGTGATTTGCTTTAGCCGACGTCTGGTGTGTGTAAAAGAATGTGAGTACCTTTGTGTTGGGTGAAACTTTCTGTGGAGTTCAAGGTTGTAATCAAGTTCTTTAAATCTACCTCTTTTACTAAATTCATGATTTCTTTATTTTTGTATTTTTGGTAGTATCTCCTTCACATTTTGTACATTTGCTTTCTTTCAAAGTTATGTGTTGCACATAATTCATGATGGCTATAAGTTCTTGGTGAATTTTTCTTTTTTCAGATTTATTTATTTGAAAGTCAGAGTTACAGAGAAGGAGAGGCAGAGAGAGAGAGAGAGAGAGAGAGAGAGAGAGAGAGGGGTCTTCCATCTGCTGATTCACTCCCCAAATGGCCACAACAGCAGACCTGGGCCTATCCAAAGCTAGGAGCCAGGAGCTTCCTCCAGGTCTCCCACACGGGTGTAGGGGCCCAAGGACTTGGGCAATCCTCCACTGCTTTCCCAGGCCATAGCAGAGCTGGATCGGAAGTGGAGCAGCAGGATTTGAACTGGCACCCATATGGGATGGCGGCACTGTAGACGGCAGCTTTACTTGCTATGCCACAGCACCAGCCCCAGGGCTTATCTTAAATTTAAATTGTCAACATCTTCTTTTTTTCTAAGTCTAATCAATACATTTGACTCCTGAATAAGACGGGCACTCTGTCCTAGCTATTCAGAAATTATTGAGGCTGGGGTTGTCATCCTGCCTTACTTGGCCTCATTAGCATTTCTGCCTAATTGTCTGCTGGCTGTCGCTCCTTGATCCCACTTTGTCCTTCTGAGGTCAACCTTTCATTGGCTTGTAAACTCTTAAGCTCTGCATCTTCATTCCACCGCAACCTGGAGAGAGTTGAGTATGAAATTGACGTTTCCCGAGGGCTGTACAGAGAGCAGTTGGTCGTCTTGCAGCAGCTGTGGTTGCTGTCAGGGTCATGGTTGCTCCATTGAAGGTCAAGTGTCTTTTCTTTCTGGCAGCCTTGAGAGATTTTTGAAAAATCTAGTTAGGCCGGCTCTTCTACTCAGATGTGGCTGGGAGTGGGTTGTTCCTGTTTGTCTTCGTAGAGGGCTCAGTCTGTTTCCAGTCTGAGGACTGATGTTTTCCTGCTATGCTGGAGAATTCCATTATATTTTAAAGATCACTGTTCCCTTTGTGTCTCTCTCTGGACTTCTCTTCTGCACCTGCTGTGTATTCTGCCTTCTCTTTGCTTTGATGTTTTCTCTACACTGTGTGCTGGTTGCTTCCCTTAATCTGCTCTCCAGCCTACTAATTCTTTCTATGGCTGTATTTATTCTAACATTGAACCTATTCCTTAGATACTGTGTTTCAATTTCTATATCTTTTATATCTGAAACTTCTCTTTTTTCAAGTATTCATAATTCCCCCTGCCGTATCATTTGCTCTATATTTTCTTCTGTTTCTGCACATGTTATACAGACTTGTTTTGAAGTTGGTTGTGGTTTCCTTGTTTCTGGTGCCCTGAGTGAAAATTTGCTTGCTTGCTGTGTGTGTGGGCTGGTGGGCTGTTTGCATCCCTGCACCTGCTGGTAGTCGCGTGCTCACTGCTGTTGGGACGTCTCCGAGTTCACTCCTCCCATGATAATCCTGGGGCCTTGGAACTTGAGCAGTTCCAGACCAGTTTAAGAGGAGGTTCTCAGCTCAGTGTCTCTACTTGATTGTAGAAGGCAGATCTGGCCCACATTCACACAGAGGTCATGCTGAGGTTCCAGATTGTCCTGAGCGATTGACCCCCAACTTGCTCCAGTCCTGGCAGCTCCCTCCTGGACCCTGTGCTGGTGGGCAGACATGTTCTGAGATGGCGCCTCCTCTTCCCTGGGCTGCATCCCAGCTCCGCACCTCTGCAGCTGCTCCCACCCACTCTGCAGCCACTCCCCCACCCCCCACGCAGCGGGTGGTTCCACTCCTGCTGCTGCTTTCTTGTTTTGAGATTGTTCACAGTTTTTTTTAAAGTAAACTACAATCTGTTGTGTCTGGGAGGAGAGGTGAGCTTCCTGGACCAACCCAGTCTGTATCCTAACCAAAGACCTAAAATTGTGCAATTCTAGAGGCCAAGAATGTAATCCCTAGACTCTCTGATTCTAATGGTCAGTGCTTCTGTAACCCCATGGTCCCAGTCTCGAGGCAGGAGAGGACCAGTTACAAGGTGTGAACATTGGCCTCCGTGCCTCCCCCTCTTTCTTGTCTCCGTCTCCCTTCCACCGCAGTGGCTCATCCATAAGAGGTGTCTCAATCTGCCCTCTTTATGGGGATCAAAAAGACCAGCTCCCCTTCCCCAGGGTCAGACAGAACTGTACATGCCCAGTGGACACTCAGACACTGTGGAGGGGAGGGTGGTGGACGTGGGGGATGCCTGTGACCCTAGAAAACTGTAAAATACCATCCAGTGAGCCCGGCACCCTCACCCCCACCTCTGGAGTGAGTCTATTTCCCTCTGTAACCCCTGCCCCGCCCCTCCCCAAGGATGCCCATCCGTCCACCTCTGAGATCTGCTGTAACCCGCTCCTCACTCCTCCCCTGTCGTCACCATTCTTGTCCAGACTATTGTTGTCTGGCTTGGACAACCCCCTGGTCCCTGCTGGTTCTCCTTGCCAGCCTGCACACCCATCTGCAGTCCTCAGTTTCCATCTGGCAGCTGGAAGACACTTCTGGAGCCGTACCTCTGATCACATGTCCTGTGCCCACTGCTCAGGTTGTGTGCATCTCCCTGTTGCCCTGTGGTAAAGTTGACATCTCTCACTGTTGGTAGGGCACTGCAGGCCCTCCCAGCCTCATGCCCTGCACTTGTGCCCCCCACCACGGGGCCTCCCTCCCGACCCCTCCCTCTGCTGCAGACCAGACTCTTCCTGTCTCATAGATCTCCGCTCTGAGCTCTGACTCCAAGCCAGATTGCTGATCCCTTAGTGCTGTAAGATGTACTGCAGTGTCTGATCTGATCTCGGTGTGCCTGTGGTTAGCAATGCAGCTCAGTGTGTTGTGAGCCCTGACTTTGGAGCCTGACTCTGGGTTCTTAGGTTTATAAGCCTCAGGAAAAACATGGTATGTGCCTGAGTCATGGTATTGCAGAGAGCAAAATGATGTCTGGCTGCAGAGTGCTGAGAGCGGAGTGGGTGCTCTCCCCTTCTCTGTCATCACTGGCGTGGGCAGGGGCCACGTCTGTGCTGTCTACCACTGTAGCGCAGTGGGCGTGGACAGTGACCGGTCGGCAGCTGAGAGGGGGCTGTGTCTCCTGCAGGCCTCTATCATGACGGGCACTGTGCAGAACATGGCCCTGGAGGGCAGGCCCGGTCACCGGCCCTGGCGCAGGGGCCGGGAGGTCCGCGCTTCCTCTGAGGAGACACAGGAGCTGCTGCTGCCGACACGTTTAGAGCTGCACAAGGTGGGTCTGAGGCGGCAGGTGTGGGAGGCTGGGACCTGCGTCCTGGTGATGCCTTGAGGACCCACCGTGGACTCCAGATGGGCCCCAAACTTCCCCAAGTATGTTGCCCTCCACCTTGGACTGTTGGGGATTTTATGCTTGGTTGAATTTTTCAAAACTGTCCATGTTTAGGTAATACACACACACACACGATGCATACTGGGCTATTAAGTAAACTTGCTTTTTTACTCCACTTAAGTTCACATATGTATACATGCACATGGATATGCATGTGTACATGTAAATGAATCTGTACATGTATGTGAAGGTTTATATGTGTACATATCTAAGTATATGCGTGCATACAAGGATATTTCCAAAAGTTGGTAGAAAATGAAGTTTGCAATTGGAAGTCTGTGTGTTTCTTGTGCCTGAGGAGCCTGCCTGTCCTCCCAATGATGGGTCACTATACAAAAGCTAGATCCTGAGCCGCGTGTGGCCTGGGAGCCAGGGGCAGGGGCAGGGGCGGCAAAACCCCTGCCCAGGATGCCTCCCCTCACATTGGGCGGGGGCGGTGCTGGGGCAGTGCAGCCGGCAGGTGGGCTGGGCTGGCGTCCCAGAGGCAGGGCTGCTGCTGTGGGGGGCTGGGGGTGAGGCCAGGGCCCCAGGGCTGCCGTCTTCCCGCCTGCAGGTGACGCTGCACAAGGACCCCGTGCGGGATGACTTTGGCTTCAGCGTCTCAGACGGCCTTGTGGAGAAGGGCGTCTACGTCCACACCGTGCGCCCCGACGGGCCAGCCCAACGTGGGGGCCTCCGGCCGTTCGACAGGGTCCTTCAGGTAATGCCGGGGCAGGGGCGCAGCCTTGGTTCCCAGCCCTGGGCTGGAGGAGGAGCCCCATGGGCCCTCTGTGACAAGTGCCTGGGTTGAGTTAGGCTGAGTTGAGCCACCTGTAGCTCCATGGCTGAAGACACTGGACCTTGTCACCTGCATGACCTCCCACTGTGGGCACTCACCATGTAACTGCCCCTCCCACAGTCTCCCAGCAGGGGAAGCCACGCCTATCACATTTGTTCACAGCCTATTGGCCAGAACAGTCACGTGACTGCATAGCTGCAAGGGAGCCTGGGAAATGTGAGACATCCTTGGCTTGGCCTTTGGCCACAGTGACTCAGCTGTTTTTGCTTCCTTGATGTAGTTTGTGCCACATGTACGTTATTTACTAATGTTTTAAATTAATAAGACTTTCTCAGCTTAAATTTATCTTGAAAGAAAATTTGCATTCCAGCTGGGAACGCAAATGTGAAGGGGACATAAATCACACAGACACAGACAATGACCCCAAATTCTAGGTAGGGGCCTCAGTGTGTGAGTCACGGTCTGTGCTTTCGTGTTAGAAAAGAGAAGCAGGCGTCGGGGGTGTGGAGTGCAGAGTTGGCCCTGCCGTATGTGGTCGTCCCGCACCTGCGCATCCAACACACCTTCATAGGAAATACTCAGCATAGCGATTGCATCCGTGCTGACACGTGCAGCCTGTAGTCCTTGCTGCCCTTCCCCAAATGCTGCAGCATGAACAGCTGCTTCCGGGCATCAACTTCGTGTCTGAGATGATCAGGAGCAATTGGGAGGTGTGTGCACCTTGCACTGTTTGTAGAGGGGACTTGAGCATCACATGACTTTGGTATCTGAGGAGAGGCCTGGACCTAAGCAATCCCCATGGATACTGAGGAGCCCTGATGAGGGAAGTACCCCTCCCCTAGACCAGGTCTTTATCTTTGATAAAAGCAAACCAGAGGAGTTGGGGGGGGGGCAGTACTCGCCCCCTCCTAGCCGGCTGAGCAGACCCCTGGCTCTGACCCTGACCATTTGGCTGTATACCATGCAGGTCAACCATGTTCGCACGCGGGACTTCGACTGCTGCCTGGCGGTGCCGCTGCTGGCCCAAGCCGGGGAGGTCCTGGAGCTGGTCGTCAGCCGTAACCCCGTGGCGCGGAGCGGCCGGGCCTCACGGGCTCCAGGTCCTGGCAGCCCCCAGATGCTGTGAAGTCAACCTGGAGTCTGGACACTCAAGGGGCTGCCTTGGGAGATCCTGGAGAAGAGGCTGCCCACTTACCGTCTGTTGGCCTGGCAGACTGCGAGCTGGACTGGGCCCTGGTCTTTGTTCCCTGGTTCTGCGGTGACCCGGGTACCACACAGCCAGAGTGGTGTCTGGCTCCTCCCCAAGTGGGATCTCCACGACGCCCAGCAGGGGCTGCCCCAGGTTCCTGCAGGGCCTCCTTGGGAGGGCAGCGAAGGAGGGAAAGCCTGGGGGAGCCTTGGGACCCCCACTGAGTGGCCGGGAGCGAGTTCCCCGTCCCCCGGAGGCAAGCAAGCAGAGCTGGATGCCCCAGCGCAGCCCTGGATCTCGACGAGGCGTCCACAGCACTCAGGTCGTGAGTCTCCCTCACCCAGGCACCCCGCCACCAGGAATGCCACTCAGGCTGGGAGCCAGCTTCTTGCCTCCTCCAGGTGCTGGGATTTGCTGGGGTCCTCGCTCTCGAGGCCCTGAACTGGGGTCTCATGAAGTGCTGGTCCCTTGACTTTGGAAGTCGGAGAACTTGTACTCCAGTGCCTGAGCTGGAGGCTTCTGGGACTTGGGACTCTGGATTGGGGTCTGGCCTGGAGTCTCGGCCCCACCTGCGGCTTTGGTAGGACGTGTGGCCCATCTGCCCCACACACCATCTGCCCAGCTCCTCTGAGAGAGGGGACCGTTTGGGGACAGAAGACGTAGGATGTTCTCTTCACCTGGCTTTCAGATGGTGACTTGAAGACCCTGGAAACAGGATGGCAGGTGTGGCAGCTCCCTGTCCAGGTGCACATCCATCCACAGAGGACACAAGTGGGGAGGCCGAGCAGAGGCAACGCCCGGTAGAGACCGTGTTCCCAGCAGTGCCGCGCAGACGCGTCTTACCCATGCAGCGAGTACGGCAGCACCAGCTTCTGTTGAGTGCACCTGCTCGGCTCCACCAACAGAAGCCTCTGGGTGCACAGAAGCTGGGCCCTGCCTGGTGGTCTGGGTGTGGCCCCAGACACTCTAGTCCCGGGGGTTGGTGTGGCCCCTTCCCAGATGGTGAAAGGGTCTCAGAAAACAAGCGCCCCCTCCCCCTTCACCCTTCTCCAACCCTGGGTCCCTGCTCTTCCAACTCTGGTCCTCTTGTTTGCAGTCTGACACCCTTTGGACGTCCAGGGTGTGGAGTCTCAGAGCAGATCCAGTCCTCTGGGTCAGGACCAGGGCCCCCTGCTAAGGCCCCCTTGGTGCCCTGCCCACCCCGTGTCCCCCAGTACCCATCTCCTCTCCCCTCCCCTCCCCACCACTCTGTCCAGGAGCCCTCCTGAGGAACCCTGCAAGGCCATGGCTGGGATGCCAGTATCTCTACTGATGTGGGTAAATACCCACCCTGTGGGGAGAGGGCACTGCTCCCCCCGCCACGGGGGCACCAAGCAAAAGCCAAGAGCCCCTCAGCTCCACGGGATGGGGCGGCACAGCCGAGATGGGGCCTCCAGCAGCTGGTGCTGCAGCCCGGCCCCGGGGCTTCCACTGTGTGCGGCGCTGGACAGAGCACTCTCTCAGGGCCTCTCGGCTTAGGAAAGGTGGGCTGGACTCCAGCGGAGGCGGCACTGCCCCGGCCGAGGCTTCGGCCATCCTCCCCGAGGTGATGCACTCAGGCCCGGCTGCTGGAGCTGTGGGGCCTCTCATATGCAATAGCTCTCCCGACTCTGGCCCTCCCACCCCCTTCCTGCTGCGCGTCCTGCCTGCCTATGCATTTTGGGTACAGCCCCTGCGACACGCCCCTCCCCAAAGCGGTATTTTTGTCTGGCTGAGATTAGAGCACATCCTTGTATTTTTCTACACGGGGTTTTCTTAGGACTCTTGGGAAGCACAGCGCGCCAAGGGGCTGCATGGCAGAGGCCGGCTGCGGTCTGTTGGGGCCCCCTTGTACATCTTTGTCCCAACACCGGGTGCGGTGACGTGGGGGGGTGTTACTGGGATTCTTTTATAAATAAAAATATTTAAATGCATCTGAAGTTCGTTGTTGCGTTTCTTGAAAGCGAGGTTTGGCGAGAGCTCCTGTGTGGACCTTGCAACATCTCACGTGCTTTTAACTCGTTTGTTCGAAGAGTGTTCCCTGCCTGCCATCTAGCCCTGGGCACACAGTCCCAACAGGACACAATGAGCTGCACTCTGCATGTCTGGATGAAAGGCAACCAACAAGGAAGGGACTCAGGGACGTAATTTCCCAGCGAACCGTGCAGTGATGGCAGCACAGCAGGGTACCGGGACATCATGGCGTGAAGGGCTTGGCTCAAGAGGTGACCTTTGTGGTGAGACCTAAAGGATAGGAGCCGGCCCTGTGGGGACCTGGAGGACAAGGACTCAGGCAGAAGACCCAGCAAATGCAAAGGCCCCGAGGGTAGGTCTGAGGAAGAGACAGGAAGCCTGGGGTATTGGAGGCAAGATTGAGGTGCGGGCATGGCCGGGGGGTAGGGGCTTGGTCCTGTGTACCCTGGGAAGCCACAGAGGCAGAAGGGTCTTTAGAGGGTGCCCAGTGCAGGGTGAATGGGGGAGTCTTGGGGCCCACAGTGCTGTAGAGGGCAGAGGAATAGACCCTTACCCGCTGTGCAGGAAGGGAGTGAGCACCCGCTCTTGGGAGGGCAGTGAAAGGGCAAGATGGGTGAGGCAGCACAATTCTTATGGTGTCTATAGGCAGCAGGTGCTGCTCTGAGCACTGGGCAAAACTCCCCAGACCCACCAACAGCCTTCAGCATGGTTTCCATGACACCCAGCTGATGAGCAGAGGCGGCACACACAGGTCAAGTAACTTACTTAGCAAGGGACAGAGCCAGGATCTGAACACAGGCCATGGGGTAGAGAAAGAGGGAGGGAGGTGGCCAGAGGCCATCCGGAAGGAGGAGGCAGCCAGAAAGGGAGGTGGGCTTTGCCCAAGAAATGTCAGTAGAAAGAGTACAACTCGACTGAGAAGACTTTGGTCTGGGACCTGCCGTGTAGTCCCAAGGGCCCAACAGGTACCACTGCCACCTGGTAAGATGTGGCCTCTGTGGAGCTGACCGCACCTGCTGGGGGGCAGCAGGGCTGTCAGGATAGCAATGCCTCGACCTCGCCTCACCTGCTCTCCACACTTCCAGCAGGAGGACCCCAGGCTGGAGCCACGGTAGGTGAGCACCCGAGAGATGACTTACCTGTAGCCATCCCTGCAGGCTGGATGGATACAACAGCTTGTCCCAGGTGGGGAAACTGAGGTTCAGATGACCAAGCTCTCCTTTGGGCTGCACAGAGCTGACTGTGTGTACACAGAACGGGCAGACACAGCCAGAGCAGACCCAGGCGCCCTGGGTGTGAAGCTGGACTCTGATTAGCATCTCTGGCCTGGGACAATCCAGGTGGAGCATCCTGAGACCCCAAATGCGGTGACCTCCCAGAGTTTAACAGCGGCATGTACCATCAATGGACACTTCCATCCCCTCCCCTCCTCCACCGGCACTGCAAATAGAGGGAGGCCGTGCGTATAAGGTGTCGACGAGATGGACGTGAACTTCACGCTTAGACTCGGTTCCATCCCCAAGGTATCTTAGGATCCATGGCAAATGTTCCAAAATTTGCCCCCAACCCAAGACAATTCTGCTCACAAGCATTTTGGTCAGGGATGCTCAGCCTCTGGTACCCACCCCAAGGGGCATCCCGTGTGGAGGACACAGCGGTTCCCTCCCCAAAACAAAACCCACACGTGCTGGACTTGAAAAAGGAAATGTTTATTTTCATGTTATAAGGTGATTACAAACTCCTCTAAAAAAGCAAAGATGAATTTAAAATATCAATATCCATATTTATCTAAAAAGCAAAAGAGGAAAAACAAGCCCTGCGAAATGCAGGGATCCGTATCCTGACAAGTTGACACAACAAAGCTCGGGACTGCACGGCTGGATTTCACACCACGGGTCTTGTTCAAACTCGCACGCTCCTCCTCAGGAGAGTCCATGGTTGGTTGGTTTTTTTTAAATTTTTTTTTACAAAAGTTTAAAATACCTTAAAAATATTTTGAAGCTTTAAAAAAATGTCTGGATGAGCCAGACACATTTCTGGAAGGAGGTAAGACCCACGCTCTCAGCTTTCTCTTGTGCTAAATAGAGTCACAGTTGCTAAGGATCGGAGGATTCATTGGGTAAAACAAAAAAATGGAGCTACAGTCTTAATGTGAAGTCAAATCTAACAAGGTCGTGTTCCCTCAGGGACCGTGTCGGACACGGCTGTGGTGACACCCACGAGAGAACGCTCAGCACAGCTTCCTGCTGATACAAGGTATGTGAGGTCGGGCGGGGGTGGGGCGGGCTGCCCGCCTCTCGCAGCGGGAAGCCCTGGGTTTTCATTAGGTTTTGTATGTGAGGGGCATTTGCACACAGTGGCACCTAGAGCATCCAGGTGGGCAGCCTGGCCCTGGGTCGGAGGCCGGCTGGGACCTCATGGGAGAAGGGGGCAGAGGTCCCTTCCTGGCTGAGTTTCAGGGAGCCGAGGGCCTTTGCCTTCGGCCTGGCTGCCCGCAGCATCTGCCCATCGGCAAGGGCAGTGGAGGGAGATGCTGGCAGGGCCACCGACTGTGGTGCGGTGGCACCAGGGGCGCACTCTGCTCTCTGCTGCACCGCAGCTTCAGGGGCCAGAGACAGAAGGCTGCTTCCTGTTAGCACAAAGCTACATGGGAAATTTCCAGCCATGTTTAGAGTGGGCCTCAGTTTTCTTTCGTGCCAACAGGCTTCTTCCTTCCTAGCCTGTGAAGGCCTTGGGGTGGAGAGGGGCCCTCTAGGGTGGCTGGGGTGAACAGGTGCCCAGCTCTCCTCCCTGCAGCCCGAGGCCCCCATCTCCCCCTGCTGTGGGACTCAGACCCCAAGGCCCACAATGAGTGTGTTGCACTGGGCGACTCTCCACTGCGGGGGCTGGCATGGGCCTGATTCAGTGAAGCATGCCCCGGGGCCCTCACCCTTGCCTTCACCTTAAAAAACCCCTCTCTGGCCGCCTTTCCAGGTCCGGCCGACCAGGCTATGAGTACACATCAGAATTCCCGACCCGTCCCAGTCAGAGAGCAGGTGAGGACTGCGCCCACTCTCAGAGGCAGGGGGACCAGAGTTACAGCTCAAACGCAAAGTTTCATTTATAAGGAGACACGTCAAAGTCATCACACATTGTACACACAGAGCCGCAGGGACCAAGGGCGGGGCAGCAGGGCAGGTGAGAAGACAGGTGCCTGGGGCCAGAGGAACGGGCTTGGGCAAGCGGCTGACCCTTGGCCCACTCGGGGCTGGGGACTTGGTCTGTGTGTATCTTTGGTCTAGAATTTGGTCTGGGAATCTTGCAAGAAAAGAGGCCCTCCTCAGGCCATTTCCAGAGAGTTGCAGTCTGCCCACCGACCCGAAACACGGGAGCCTGTCAGGGAGGGTGGGAGGCACCCCCCCGGGGGGAGCTGGAGACCGGAACTAGCACAAATGCCCTGGAAGCCACTGTGTGCCAAGCCTCACGTGCCCCCGTGGCACCTGTCTTCCATCACCGGGAGTGGTTAGTTTACCAAAGTTCCATAAGACAAACAGGTCACATTGCTACTCGGTAAAAGGAAGAACCGACAGTCAAATCAATCCAGACACAACGGCACCCATACAGACATGGCCAACAGGAAAATGGTACAGTCGCCAATGGTTTGGAACAGGGCAGGGGGTTTGGCAGAGCGTTCAGCTTTGGAAACAGAATGTGTACATTGGCTCCCGCCAGAGGCCAGGGTTGCCCCATGGGAGGGAGACACCGGAGGCTTCCTCCCCCTCCCACAGCTGGGGAGGGGGCTTCAAGGATTCTGTGAGCTCCTGCTCCACACACCTCAGCAACACCCCTCCACCCCGAGCTTGTGGCTCCAGGCAGTCTGTGCTTTGTGCGTGATGTTTTCCAGGTTCCAGTGACTGCAGAAATGGCACAGCTGAGATCCAGACAGTGGACGGCACACAGAATTCTAAAGGTGTGGCACCCCTCAATCCTGGTGCCGAGAAGGACTCGGCTCTAGCAAGGCGGCCGGGCAAGTACCCTGGACACGCCTAGCCATCTGCTCTCAGTCCCCAGGCAATGTTTGAGCCCAGCTCCTGCAGGGGCTTTGAGCCCAGGAGGCACTGGGGGAGGGGATCACTGTCACAGGCTGCCTCCGTGCCTGAACAGGGTGGGGAACTGAGGACTGCTTCCCCCACCGGAAGCTGGGAGCCCCAGGGCGGCTCTTCCTCTAGGAGCCGGGCATACCTTTGGTCCACTGGCCCCTGAGCCCTGAGCAGCTCCTTCCCAGGTGGGGAAGTGACCAGGACCTGCGATGGACCTGGGCTGCACCCTGGGAAAGACGCCCACACCCAAGCCCCCACGATGTCTCGCTGGCCCCCCAGGGATCCTGCCAACGATCCACTCCATCTCAGAGTTCACGAGTGTTCGGGGGCGAAGGCTTCCACCACCCTGGAATCAGACTGGTGCATGGGGCCTCGGCTCGCCTACGGGAGGGGGCTGTCATTTTGGCATCTCTCTTGGCTACAACAAGAACAGGGACAGGCTGCTCGCAGCCCTGGCCCCTGCCGCTTCCTTCCCCTGAACCAGGCTTTGGGAGGTGCTACACCTGTGTGACGGGCCTGCCGGCCCAGGAAGACGCCCCCTGTGTTTGTGGGCAGAACGTTACGCCAGCTACAAGAGCACCGAAGGACTGCTTTTAAAAACGAGATCTATTGCTGGCAAGATCACTTCAAGTGGTCAAAGTGTAGCTAAAGTTCCAAGTAAAAAACAATACCAAGAAAAATGTACCAAATTCTCATAAAATACATCTAATTCCATAGGAAAGCTCTGCCTGGCCCCGGACCTCAGCCCGTGGGGTTTCTTTTTGTACAAAGTATCCCCTAATCAACACATGACACACACGCACACACACACAAGATACACATACATACGCACAGAGTAACATTTCTGTGACAATTAAAAAAAAATCCTAGTGCAAATATAAAGCTCTGTAAACCTGGTCCTATGAGAATCTAATGTTAGTAAACAGCAGGAAAGCGGCCCCGGCGGAGACCCGTGTGCTCACATCATGGTCTCCACGATGATGTGGGTGGGTTTCATGAGTGTGCCATTCATCGACAGGCGTGACTTGTAGGGCGTGGCGCCCTCCCGCTCCACGGCCCAGCGGTTGGGTTCCCTGGGGGCCAGCAGGTACTTGAGTCTCTGCAGAGGGAAGATGGACACACGGAGCGTCAGCAGGTGCATCCCGCTGCCCACCCCTTGACCTTGGGCAAATGACCACCACTTCCGGACCTTTGGAAATAAGGGGAGATGGACCACTACGAGGCCCTACCTAAGGAGCAGCCCCTGCCCGCACAGCTCACGAGATGCTCTGGGTCTGCCGCCCTCCATCCACCACCTCCTGTGGTGTTGAAATAACCTCCCGTGAATCCCGCCCCCAGTGCTGGGACTTCCCAAACAGCCCGGTTATGGCACTTTGCAGGCGTGCAGGTGGGTGAAGGCAGCCTGTGGCTCCCGCCTTCCCCAAGGATACACTGCACGCTCCCCCTCCCCCTGCACAGTATGGCCTAGGCGCTGGGGCCATGCCAGGATCCTCAGCTCCTGTCCAGGGAAGCAAATTCTGTCCTCCCTGCTGGCTGTCTGCCTGCCCAGTCCATGAGGTAAAGGGTGCCTGAGGCTACTCAGAAACTCGAGGGCAGAACCGGGACTTGAACTCAGGGCTCCTGCTCCACAGCCCTCCTGCTGCCAAGTGTCCACCCAGAGATGTCAACAGGGCCCAGCTACAAAACAAAACAGCTATTGCCCCAGCCGTTTGTGTGTAAGTTAGGTATGTTGTGACTTTGAAAAGCTGCAGCATCTTATCTAGACATCCAGCATTCTAGCTTCCCTGAAAGCTGTGGTCCTCCCTGGCCATGCCCCCTAGTCACCAGGTCCAGAGCTCCGCCTGTCAGCTGCCTGCTGTAAGGCAGATGTGGTAGCCCTGGGCGGAGTTCTCCCAGCCACAGCCCAGTGGCTCCCCTCGCATCACTGTCCCTCCGTGCACCTGTGCACACAGACGGCAAGGTGAGAGGCAGACCCCAGCACATGGGGCTCCACCTACGTGGGAGGCTCAGCCCCCCAAGTCAGGTGGTAGAGAGCAGCTGAGTTCACTGGAACACGGCTCAGAGCAGCTGTCCATGGGGGGGGCACGTGGGGACAGAGATGGAGAGAGGACGGG